TGAGTCAATGTGACAATCACTAACTGACACTTTAAACATGCGTTGTGAGAAATGTAATTACATAGCAACAGATATTGGCGATTGGATCACACATGACTGCATCATTGTAAAAGAGACGCCAGATGAAAGGCTAAATGATGATGATGAAGGCTTATTAACTTGTGAAAAATGCGATTTCAAATCTTACAGTCCCATTTTTTTTGAATCTCATGTTTGCGAAAATGAATTGTGGACTTGTCAATATTGTCCGTTCGAAACATATTCGCTAAAAAAGTTTTTGGAACATAAATGCGCTCTAATGGTCAAACCTTCCGAATACAAGTGTTCAAACTGTCCATTTGTCACGAAAATAGATTTAGATTATCTTTTGCACAAATGTGACGAATCAGAAAGCCACGCAATTGATGAACCTTGCACTTCAAATTGTAATCATCAAACTTATATTGATAAACCAGCGATTTCAAAGCAAGGAACTAAACGCAAAGATGTTGAAGAACACAATACTACAAGCCCTAAAAAACAACCAAAGTTTAATTATCATTGTAAAACTTGCGGCAGAGGTTTTGTTCGAGAAAATGCACAAAAGTCACACTCTGAATGGTGCAAAAACAGGATGGTCATAGAAAGCATAAATCTAAATGATAATATTGGTGAATTTGCAAAGATTGCCTCAGCATTCAATAAATTCGTTACTTATGAAAACAGAGCTATTGAGTGCATTGACATTGAGAGTTTGCAAATGTCAGCTATTGATGATTTAACTACATTATTGAATCAATATTTGCAAAATTATAATTGTCTCAAATTTGAATTGATTGTCGACGCAACTTTAACACATCCAATCAATCAAGATGTTACATCAAGGCGTTGTTTTCATTCAATAATGCACTCAATTCTTCTTGGTGACGATATACAAAATACATTGATAACAGCTTTTGCTGAAATTAAAGAGCTTGTTGATCAACACACAGAAAGAGGCAGTGGTTGGACATTAAATGCAATCAAAAGTTTACAAATCAACATTGGTAAATATGTTCCACATCGCGGTGGATGCTCTCAATTCTCACTTCCAATTGAAATGATCAACAAAAAATGTTTAATCAACATAAAAACGCAAGATTCATGCTTTCTCTATTCAGTTCTTGCTGCTTTACATCCATTTACTAAAAATGCGCAACGAAATCAAACTACACAGCATACATTGACAGATATGATATTACGGACTTACCTTTGGATGGAAATGTTGATTTATTTCAAGCTGTTAAATTCGCTAAACGAAACAATTTAAATATCAATATTTATACTTATGATATTGACGAAAAGTGTGTTATTCCTTTGAAAATCATGGGTGGACAAAAAGATGATCCGATATTGCTGTTTCTCTATGATGATCATTATTATAAATTACACACTTTGATAGGTTTGCAAGTTGTAAAAATAAACACTCACGACGTCATTGTATCGATGTTTAAGTGCATTCACAACAACCGAAGCATTACAAAAACATAAAGTTGATTGTTTAACGCTAAACCTCAACGGACAATTATGCCTGATCCACACAATAATTCATCAAAATTAAGTTTTTATCTCTATCAAAATGAAATTATGCATCCTTATGTTGTTTACGCTGATTTCGAAACTCTTTCAGTGACAAACGCAGATGAATATCGTGTTCGTACTCTTCCTGTTTGCAGCTATGGTTATGTTGCTATTGATTGGACTGGAAAAATAATTGCAAAAGATTTTTATAGAGGTGAAAAAAGTGGCGAAAAGTTTCTTGCAAGTATTGTTGAAACAAAGCGCAAACTTGATGCAGATTTGGCAGCGCGTTCAAAACCGCTCAATATGACAGATGAAGATGAATTTAACTTTAGAAAAGCTAAAAAATGTTTCATTTGTTCAAATCCACTCCATGCGAATCGAGTTAGAGATCATGACCATCTCACTGGAAAATATCGTGGTGCAGCTCACAATGAGTGTAATTTGATTTACCGCCTTCCTTCAAAGTTACCGATATTTTTTCACAATTTAAAGAACTTTGATTCGCACATTATATTCCGTGCTTTATCTGAGCCATTAGCTGCCGATATTTTCATAATTCCACACACAATGGAGAAATATATTGCATTTACATTTAAAGACTTCATTTTTCTAGATAGTTATGCTTTCCTCCCGTCATCTTTAGAAACACTTGCCGAAAATGTTACCGAAGATTATAAATCGACATTTTTGAAACAAATGTTTGATGGTGATGTTGATTTATTAATGAAAAAAGCTGCTTTACCTTACGAATACATTGATTCTTTCGATCGTTTTAAAGAGACATCCTTACCAGAAATTGACAAGTATTATTCATCATTAAAAGATGCTAACATCAGCAATGAAATGTACAATCATTTACAAAATATTTGGAACAAATTTAAATGTGAAACACTTGGCGATTTTCATGATCTGTATCTGAAAGTTGATGTAATTTTACTTGCAGCTGTGTTTGAAAATTTTCGTAAAGTGAGTCATGAAAATTTCAATCTTGATCCTTGTCATAATTTTTCTATCCCTGGATTATCAATGAATGCTGCATTACGCTACACCCGAGCAAAAGCCGGTTTACTCACAGATGTTGACATGCTTATATTTGTCGAAAAAGGAATTAGAGGAGGATTAACTGTTGTTTCAAAACGTTATTGCAAGACTAGACAAGGTATTAATGAAATCATTTATCTTGATGTTAATAACCTTTACGGTTATGCAATGTCGCAGCCTCTGCCTTACGATAATTTTCAATGGGTCGAATTAAAAAATCAAAATATTGATCAACTACTCGCAATGTGTAGAGGCGACACTGGAATGATATTCGAGGTTGATTTAATTTATCCTGATCACCTTCATGATGAGCATAATGATTTTCCATTAGCGCCACATAAAATGGAAGTAACTGAAGAAATGCACAGTCAATATCAAAAGGAACTATTAAAAAGATTAAAAGAAAGAAAAATGAAGCCTTCATCATCTGAAAAACTTCTCTCAACATTTTATCCAAGAGAGAAATATGTTGTTCATCATAAACTCCTCAAGTACTACATCTCTAAAGGATTAATTGTAACTAAAGTGCACCGAGCTTTCAAGTTTCGTGAAAAAGCATGGTTACAGCCCTATGTCGATTTTTGTACCAAACAAAGACAAGCAGCAACAAACAGCTTTACTAAGGACTTTTGGAAGTTAGGTGTTAATTCAATTTATGGTAAAACGATTGAAGACAAGCGCAAACACAGGCGTGTACAGTTAGTTTTCAAAGAAAGTATAGCCCTGAAACGATTAAGATCTGAATTATGCGAAAGTTTTACCGTTATTGGCGAGGATAAAATGCTCTTTCAACTCAAAAAAGGTGCTGTCTACATGAACAAGCCTGTATCTGTTGGTTTTGCCGTTTTAGAGCTAGCTAAACTTAAGATGTTTGAACTTCATTATGATCATTTTAAGGCTCGTTTAGGCAATAATGTTGAACTTTTATACACTGATACTGATAGTTTGATCTACAACATCAAGACAAATGAAGGCTCAGCTGTCCTTAAAGAATTTTCAGACATTATGGATTTCAGTAATTATCCTAAAGATCATCCTCTATACAACAACAAAAATGAAAAGGCTATTGGTTTTATCAAAGATGAAATGGGTGGTAAGAGGATTGAAGAATTCATTGCCTTAAAGCCTAAACTTTATGCACTCAAGACTGCTGAGGGTGAAAAGAAGAAAGCGAAAGGTATTCAGAAAAATACAGTGAATAAAACTATAACTTTCAAACAATATGAGGAATGTTTATGGGATGAAATTATCCCGATTGCAAATCAGAAGCGACTACAATCAAAGGATCATGTCATTAATATGATTGAAAATAAAAAAATTGTAATGACTCCGTTTGATGATAAAAGATATTTATTGGAAGATGCAGTTTCAACGCA